ATAACATAACATAACATAACATAACATAACATAACATAACATAACATAACATAACATCATAACATAACACAACACAACATAACACACAATAATTTAGTTATAGATTTCTATTTGATCAGTCAGATAGTAACCTTAACTTGCACATTTGTTATGTGTTCATTACAAGGGCTTGCAGTGCAGAACAAGATTTTGCTTTCCTTAAAAGGTGATTAGAGGCTTATGATATTTAGCTAATATAGCTTTTATGTGCATGTGCCTATAGGTTGAGCATAAGATGGGAATTCACAGCACTACTGTTCCATTATATTTCTCTCTCAGATTTCTACAGGAAATCTTAATTGACACAGAATTTCTTTCCCAAAGCTAACACAGATATTTGTACATTCTAGTATAGGTCCTGCTGCCCACAGGATGGATAAATACATTTCTACAGATTAATCAGCCAGGAATGACGATGGTGATAAGATAAAGCATCTATTCTATTATTGAACCATCCTAGCTCCTGCTGAAATATTTTATCTAAACATTGCCATCAGTCAAGTGGCAATTGTCAGCTTTTACATGATATTACATAATGGAATACACACCGACAGATCTACTGACAGGCTGAATTTGCACGATTGCTTTAAATTCAAGTATAAACTTCATTTAACATGCATAGCAACATCCTTGCTAATGTCTGATAGTAACATCTACCTACAGGTAGTCCTTGCTTTATGACCATGATTGGGACTGAAATAGTAAGTTGTTGCAGTCATAAGTCGAGGTACTCATGACCTGATTTTTCAATCATTTATAATGGTTGTTAACAAATCACACAGGCATAAGTTTGAATGATGAGGCCATTAAGTGAATCTATTCTCCCAAATGGGCTGCAGTCATAAGTATGAGCTAGTTGCCAAGTGCCTCTGAAATGCAGCCATGTGGCCTCAGGCTGTCAGCACAATGTTTTACAATAGCCAGAAGTACTTTCTGAACCATAAACCATCCTTTCTAAGGCCAGCATAATTTTAAACACTCATTAATTGACCCATTGTAAGTCAAGGACTGCCTGAATTGCTTTAGTAATGAATTTCTATTGTGCACAGTCTTCATATTACCCCAAAAATGATTAGATGAACTTCCAGTGTGTATAACTGGTGGTCTTGGAATGGAATATGATGATCCAAGATGGTCCAATATTTACATTTGAACAACAAAGGCTGAAATCTCAGTTAAAGTCTTACTATGTTCAGTAGGATTCATATTCTGATAATGGTAGAATTGCCACTTAGGGAAGTTTTTGCTGTGACATATACATTACACTAGCAGCTGTGGAAGCGTAATGAGAATACAGTATTGCCATCTAACTCTGTCCACAGCCAGAAGTTTGAACCTCACAGGCTCAAGGTTGACTCAGCCTTCCAACTCTTCTGAGGTCAATAAAATGAAAACAATAAAATTGTTGAGGGGAATATGCTGAAGCTGTAAACTGCTTAGAGACTGCTGTAAAGCACTATGAAGTGGTATATAAGTCTAAGTGCTATTGCTCTTACAGGTAGTCATCGAGTTATGACCACAATTGAGCCCCAAATTTATGTTGCTAAGTGATACATTTGGTAAGTGAGTTTGCCCCATTTTACAACTTTTCTTGCCACCGTTTTAAGTGAATTGTTGTATTTGTCAAGTTAATAACATGGCTATTAAGTGAATCTGGATTTCATATTGATTTTGCTTGTCAGAAGGCCACAAAAGCTGATAACATGACCCTAGGACACTGCAACCATCATAAATATGAACCAGTTGCCAAGCATCTGAATTTTGATCAAGTGACCATGGGGATGCTGCAATATTGAAAAATATTCATCTCACTTTTTTCAATGCTATTGTAACTTTGAATGGTCACTAAATGAACTGCTGTAAGTTGAGAACTACCTGTACTCAATCAGCTACTTACTGATTAGGGATGGTATGTCTCCAGATATCCAGATGTTCGGGAATAATGGTGGGAAAGAAATGTATTCTACTTGGAAGCATGTCAGCAGGAAGGAATATGTCATCTGTCACAGTTATAAAGGAAACAGTGTATTCAATTATCTTTGGGTTTAATCTGGTATGACTGTTCTTGCAGCCTCATATTAAAATGTAGATATGCTCTTGAACTATTGATTTTCACCCCCTTGTTCAACTTCATTTTTCATCCAGGTAATTAAGTTATTTAATAGTGTAAAGGTTCCCGTGTGTGTTTCTGAAGTTCTTGTTGTCAGCTTTACAGACCAACTAGAGAACAAGTAAAAGACTTAAAATTTTACAAAACAGTTAAAGCCACAGAAGAATATTTGTTATAATACTTGTTTTTCCATTATCAAAATACAGATATAAGCCTTTTCTTATCTGATCAACTTTGCAGTCCTTGGTGTCCTCTGAGCTTAGTGATTTCCTTGCAGACATTTCATTACCAAACTAGGTAACCTCATCATATTTACACAACTATTTTCCCAACTTTCAATTCTGTTGATACATTATGAATCGCTATTCAGATGTAGCTTTCTATATCTCAACTACATGCTTCCCTGTCTCCCATTCATGCCTGAGAAGTTTGCAGCTCTAAAGGGTGCAACAGACTAATTAATATTATTTATTTCTTCTATAGAAATATCTAGGGTCCATTTCAACAAACCAGGTACTGTTTATAAAAATGTAAAGGATGAAGCAGACTACAGCAATAGTGAGATAGAAAGGACCTGTGCAATGCATAGTATTGCCCCTAATGAACCACAAAGAACAATTCAGTAATGGATAGATTCCTCTCTTGTAATAGTTAGAAGACAATATAAATAAAATGTCTATGGAGATTCTCAGTCATTCAGGTCATGGTTGTCCCAAAGGTGCTTTCCTAAAAGGCAAGTGGACTTTCTTTGTTTTGTTTTTTTAAAGTTTTGCTTCTCATCCAAGAAGCTTCTTCAGTTCAGCACCTTTGGGACATTATAAATAGAACTGAATGGTAAGATTTTCCTAATATTAGCCTTAGACTAGCCTTATAATATAGCCTTAGACTAGCCGACAGTATTTTAGATTTTCATGAAATCACTGCAGTCACTATGTGGCAGAAAACTGGGTAATCCCTAATCTGGATAAAAATACATATTTATTACATATACATGGATGGGTAAGTGTGAAACATGGTCCGATGGGAACAATTTGAAAAAGAATGTGCATTCCTTCAGGTCCTCCAACTCTAGGCAAGTAACATATTTTCGATCTGGAGCATTCTGCCTAGTGTTTTATTCTTTCAGCAGCCTGGTATTAGCATCTAAGCAACGAAGGCGGAGCACAGGAACCCCGGTAGCTAAAGGGTTAATTCACGCTGCCGAAAGAACGGCGAGACCAGCGGTCGTCAGAGCAACCAGAGGGGGAGGAGCCGGCAGATTCCGGAAAGAAAGAGGAGGAATTCTACAAGAAATGCCCAGTTTTTCAGATTGCAAGGGGCGGGCTTTAGCGAGGCGGAAGTAGAACCAACAACAAGCGCGCGCGCTCCGGAAGTATTTAGAAAAGTTTACGGCTCGATGCTTTTGCTTGGATTTGAGTGACTTTAGTTGCTGGCGTCGTCGTTGCCGCCATGTTTCTGACGGTGGTCAATTGTGAGTTGATTGGGAGTTCCCTCTTTGGGGAAGTTTCGTGTGGTGCGGGCTCAGCACCACCAATCCTCCCTTGGTACGAAGCCTTTGCCCGGTTGCCCGGGAACGGGCTCAAAAACCCGAGGTTATTCCTTGGATTAAGCCTTAAGATTAAGCCTTTTAAGATGCTTCTTGAGGCTAAACGAGAAGCGGCAGTCGGTCCACGCTTCCCTTAGCGCTGACGGGAGTGGCTGCAGGGCGAAAGTCCGGGGTCTAATACTACCTTCCCGTCTGCCTTATTTCAGAAGGGCCGGCCGCCTAGTGATTCGCGGGCCTACATGGTGGTTACGCCAACCTTATCCATCATTTGGGAATCGAGTAGAGATTTTATATACGGGTAGTCCTCGAATTTACAACCGTTCCTTTAGTGACCGCTCAAAGTTACAACCGCACTGCAAAAAGTGACTTAGGACCGTTTTTCACACTCAAACACCGTTGCAGCATCCCTGTAATCATGTGATCAAAATTCAGATGCTTGTGTGGCGACTGGTTCATATTTATGACCGTTGCTGTGTCCCAAGGTTACGTGATCATGGCGACCTTCTGAGGAGCAAAGTCGATGGGGAAGCTGGATTTGCTTAACAATCAGGTTACTAATGTATCGGCTGTCACAACTCACTTAACAAAGATTGTGGCAAGAATTCACTTAACAAATGTCTCACTTAACAATAGAAATGTTGGGCTCCCTTGCGGTTGTAAGTTGAGGACTACCTGTACGGTAAATCATCCTTTCTGCACAGAATGTAGGGTGAAGGAGGTTGCTTTCTCTTGCCTTCCTGAGATAAATTTGTCAGGGTTTATATCTGAAGTAGGGATAAGACTGAAAAAGTGGAGAAAAACTAATGAACAATTTGTGGAGGGAAAGGGTGCTTTTAGAAAATGTGGGCGGCTCATACAAGAATTTGCTTGCATCTGTTTAACGCAGCTACCTCTTTTCCTAGAATCAAAGGGCTGCCCTAATGCAACTGCAGCACAGTCTTGGAAAAAGGAGTTGTAATAACTGCAACATGCCAGTCCATGCAAATTTCCTCAATTCCAGCTTTAATGACTAGCACAGAGGTGCTGCATTAAAAGCAATGCCCCTGATTCTTTTTTTACAATCTGGAAATTGTTAATGATTGTAACTAGTAAACAATCAAACTGTCTTTAAAAGATGAGATATTGGTTATAGAGCAAGGTTAGATAGGAAGGGAGAAGTTGTAGCTGTTTTGATGTCACTGAGCTACAACACCCAGCAGTTTTCAGTAAGAATAGATGATCTTGGATTGTTAAGAACTGTAGCTTAATTCTGGGAAGCATACCAAAAAAAGTTCTAAAAGCAAAATATGTAATAGTAATGATAATAGGAAACATATAACTATTAATCAGAGACTCAAGTTTATTACAAGTCACTAGAATGGAACCCTACTCATTTTAATTCAAATGTCGGAGGAAAAGCCAGGTCTTCACTGTCTTTAGGGCAGGGCTTGCAAAGTTTGAACCAGTTTAAATTGGAGGAGATTGTTCCAGAAGGCAAGTGCCTCCTGGGTCTCATAAAATGATCTTGTTTCAGAGGAGGGACCTAGGGCCGTGAGGGTGAAGCTATGGCACGCAGAGCCATTTCTGCTGGCACACGAGAGGTCGCTCGGAAGAGCCCCACTGCGCATGCGCACACCAGCTGATTGTTGGGTATCTGTCGCGCATGCGCGAGGGGAGACTCGTGTGGGAGATGCGCACACATACGCAGGGAGCAAGGCACACGGTCACATGCATGCACAGGGGACAAGGGGGTTGTGTGCTCATTGCATCATAGGTGCAGACACGTGAGTGCCTGCACTTTTGGCACATGATGTGGAAAAGATTAGCCATCACTGACCTAGGGTGTTGCCTTTCTGTTGAAGGGTATGGGACAGGCAGAGGACTTGAAATATTCTGTTTTAGAATCTGTTTTAAGAATTATTGATAGCAGCCAGGAGTCAAAATACTTTACTTGAAGGCACAAACAAAGTGTATGTATATAGTGACTTTGTTAGACATCAAGAACCATTGGGAATAGATGGTAAGCTAAGTAAATAAACTCTATCTAGCCTAGAATCCTTAAATTTGCATTAGAAAAGAATGTTAAAAATATGGTGAGTCATGAGTTTTCTTTGAATATTATTTAAATAGTTTTAAATGCTGTTTCTTTTACTTCCACAGTTGGATTTGCAACGTGTTATATGTGGGACTGCCTTTGAAAACAGCCTGGAAACTAGTTAATTCAAAATAGACTGCTCATTAGGCTAGATTGTTCACTGAGATAGTTGGTAAAAACATGTCAGTTCTTCACCATCCAGACTGTCTGCCAGTTCATTTTCAGACCCAATTAAAAATATTGGTTTTTATCTTTAAAGTCGCAAACAACTTAGTACTAGGTTACCTGAATGTGAGCGCCTCCTATATGTACTTAGCTGGATTTTAAGATCATTTATTGAGACCCTCCTCTCACCAGGTCTTGTCACCAAAGGAGATGATGTAGGTATCTACGCGGAAGAGCCTTTTCTGTGGTGGTATCCTTTTATGAAATCCCCTTTCTAGAGAGGCTTGACTGACACCCTTGTTGGTTGCATTTTAGTGCCAGGTAGAGAGATATTTCTTTTCCACCCAGCCTTTTAACTGATTTAGTTTCAAGTATCAGTTTTTGACTGACTGGTGTTGCTAGTTTTTTTTTTAATTTTATATGTTATTTGACTTTTTATCATATATGTTTTGTCATATTTTAGTTTGGTTTATTGTAAATTTCTGATAGGTTATTAGTTGGTTAAAACAAAATAAAATAAATTATATGGCAGGAATAATTTGGTGTATTGGTAAATAAATTAAAACTTTTAAATATTTTTTCTTTTTTGTTCTGCAATGCCAGTGGCCAAGAAAACCAAATCAAAGTAAGTAAATTTGAATTGCATTTACTATTCTAAAACTGTACGGTTCAGATAACTGCTGCTATTAATGGCAGTTAGGTTCTTTCTGTAATGGATTGCCTTTTGCATCAAAAATAATTGTTAAGAAATCACAGTCTGAGATTATCTGAAAAAGAGCTGTTCATTTAAGTAAATATCTAGTGAACACAGCTTTTCCTTTAATCTCTCAGGTTGATATAGTGCCAGAAGTTGCAGAATTTGGGAGATGAAACCAGCATGTTTAGTTATGTCTGTTATATGTTTAATTTTTCTATGTTAAGAGCTAAAATTCATTATTATATATAATATGGTAAATTAGGTTCTCTTTAGAGAATTGCTTTCTTGATTTCAATATGGGTGGTTATAATAATTTATTAAATATATATGCCACACAACTCTTTGTAGCACACAGTGATGGATCATGGAAATACATGTACCTGTCACACCCTTTCCTTAGAAGCTCTTTATGGGTATTGGTGGGACATGTGGGGCTATAAGAGAAAAAGAAATGGTTAATAAAGCTTTGCTTTTGGGGCTTCTCATTGCAAGTACTTATTAAACAAAACCCCTTAATTTAAAAATAAGGAAAATTGGGAAAATGTAAGTTAAATATGTTAATAAGCATTCATGCACGCACCACAAAGTAAAAAATGAATTACAAAAAATAATCATAGCTAGCCAAATAAAAAGGTTTTCTTAATGTTATTATTCTAGGTATATACTTGTGAGAATGCTCAGTGAAGCAGGAACGGGCTGTTCTTTTAATGTAAAAAGACTCCGGCTTCAAGACAAGCTGGTAATGCTAAGCTATGATCGCTTTGGTAAGAAATTGAAGAGTGTTTTGTAGGGGTATATAAATGGGAAGAACATTTTTGTATTTGTATTTGTATCCTTGAATACAAACAAAACATGTTGGAACCTCTGGTGTAACATAGCAATACTTATAGTAATTCAAATGGTTTGAGTAGGAATATTCAAGGTACTGAAATCTTAAACATCTCTCAAACATTATGAAAAGGTATCAGACTTTGATACATACTACAGTAATGGATAAAACTGAGGCCTGTTAATGTAATACATTTGTTGTTAAATAGAAGCACTGGTCAAGATTGAATAAAAAGGTAAAAGGCTTAAAAAGGTAATATGGTGATGTGCTGGCAGTAATCTTACAAAATACAAATAAATTTGCAAAGATATTGAGACACAGAAAGGTTTGGGGGTTTTCTCAAATGGAAAGAAAATTAGTGCTCTGCCATAAATACTTGAAACTGTTGTTAGAGCTTGTTGTTCTTTTGATTGTACAATGTAATTGCAGCAGTGTGATGGCCTGCATTACCTTTGTAGCCATATGTATTCTGTACATATGAGGAGGTTCCCCCAATAATGCCTATTGTACACAACATTTCTTAAAAGAGCTGGCTTCCTAAGTAGTATCCCCTCCATAAGATGTGCAATGTTCAACAAATCCAATACAAATACCTACAGAAACAGTCTTGGACCTTATATTGGTATGCTGTTTCAGCCCTTCAAGCTAGACTGGGAAACCAACTTTATGAATTCTGATACTATTTTATTATAAGAATCTTGCAATGTGCTTCTCCTCCCTCTTTATCTACAAGAGAACCAGGAGGGGTCAAGCCTGAGATGCTTTCTCAAATTATAATTCTGTCTTAGACTCAAATGTATTTAGCTTGCCCAATATCTTGGTTGCAGCTCTTCCTTCTGTTCTTCAAGGTTACTCTTACACTCCATTACAGCTGTTCGAATTCCTGCTTGGCAAGGTTCTTTCTCTACAAATATTTGTACTGTGTGGCAACATTCCCTAGGGAAGCTTATATCCCATTTTTAATTTAAGGATCATATTTTCTCAGCAGGGATTTATTCGTAAACATTGTGATTGTACATCAGTAAAACTGCAATCAAAATTTAGATCCGTTTAAAATGAGCAGCCAATGATACTGATCAAATGATCCAAACAAGAAACAATATCTTGATGTAAACTAGAAGTTACTGCATTAGATGGATTAGTTTAAAAGTTATGTCACTGATATAGATTAGATTGGAATTGTAAGAAAAATAGGAAGAAAAATTATTCAGGGAAAATGTACAATTACTGATCTCAATATTCTTAAATTTTGGTGTTAAATCATTGAAACCTAGAGATAATTTCATACATGTTGATATTCTATTTGTTTCTTACTGTTTAGGTTTCAAACTCCTTAAGTAAGTTTTCTTTACTTATTTTGCAATAAATGATATAGATTCTAGATGACCTACTGCATATTTGCTATACATCACATCCATATTCATCCTCATGTGATAAAAGGCATGCAGTTGAGCCAATAATTGATTTAAGTGTATTTATGTAAAATGCAAGTTGGCATAATTTTAGGGATTTTCTTTTTACTTGTCTTTTCATAGTCAAACAGAAAGTCCTCTTCAAAGAGCAAAAAAAGATCTGTTCTGTGTAACTCATGCTTGGCTAAGAAGATTTGCAAAGATGTATACAAGGAAATACGAAGTTAGCAATGCTGAAAAGAGAAAATGAACTGACATGGTCAAAGTCAATTGTAAATAATATCATTGAAGGATATTTAGAAGATGGATCGTCATCAAAAACTTTGTTTTCACAATTGTGAATTAAAACTCTGAATCCACTGTGTGTATGTTTCATTTCAATCAGAAGAGGTGAAACCATATACAAGAGGCTTCCTCAGTTTTTTGCACTTAAACTCTATAGATTGCAGCAAATGGTGGAAACAGTAGTTCAGATACATCTGGGAGAAACAGGTTTATGGAAGTTTATTCTCTCCTAAGAAACATTCTACATAGCTACAAAAATTGAACAATGGAATAATCTGCCTAGCTTGATTGGCTGTTTTAGGCATACAGGCAGGCAACAGAGCTTACATTTTTTTAAGGAGTTTTATATAGCAGCTACTGTTGACTGGTGGTGTGGGTTTTATTTATTAGATTTTATTAGATTTCTGTACCATGCAAAGATACTTTGTTGTACCTCCTCCTCCCCACCCCCCAAACCATACCCCATAAACATCCATAGCCCAAACTCAAAAGTTTTTAAAAATTCATACCATGATTTCATCTCAAATATAAATAAAAAGGGCTCCAGGAGAGGTCTGTCAAATCCCCCATTCCTTGCATGAGCAGGGGGTTGGACTTGAAGACCTCCAAGATCCCTTCCAACTGTTATTCGGTTATTCTGCATTTCAAGATGCTAGTCATTGCTTTATAATATCACAATGCTTAATAGAACCCAGGTATCTTAACAGAATATTTGGATTCTGTTCTCCATTTAGAATCTACCCACCCAAAATATGCCTGCAGAATTTTCTCAGGAACTGTTTTCCTGTGGAATGTATTTAACCAGAATTAACATGTGCCTCCTTGCTCTTAATAATTAGGAAGCTTGTAAAACTTGGCTTTTCCAAAGAGTACTTGGGATTGAGTATGTGGTAGTTTTACATGTGATTGTGGGACCTTGAATTAAGATTAGTCCTATTGTGATGGCTGGCTCCATCATATAATAGTTTGAGTGTTGTTATGTTTATAGTGTATTATTGCATATATGCTGTGAACTGCTTCGAGTGAGTAAGTGAAACAGCATAGAAGTCTTCTGGCATATGTCTTATATTCAGGAAAAAAGTTGTTCCAATAATATAGAGGCCATATCAGAGAAATTTCAAATTTTTAAGTTACAACTTCTACAACTGTGTCTGGAAGTTGAGTCATGGCAACTGGATTACCACAAAAGTGAGCCTTGCCTTTTTGTGTATGCTATGCCTCAATATATTAAATAGTTCTTTCTGCTTTGATCATCCTGTTTCATTCAGTGCAAACAAAGAATTTCCAAATGGCACAAAAAATTTATTCTCGGGGTAGGATCACAATTTTAAAACATACAGTAATAAAAGGGTCCTTGCTTAGGTGACTAAGACATGGAAATAATCTCACTGTAAAGCTGAAATGCTGTATCCTAAATTGGAATTGCAGTGTGTCACACCATGTGTGTCTCATTCAGGATAAGGCTAAGAAACAATATGCAATTTGTACCATCTTCATTCTGGCATCCATGTAGTTGGCATTTGTTTAAAAAGTTTGAGCAGAGAAAAATCAAATGTGTTAAACCGCAGCTTAAAATAGGTTTTGTGGCAGATCCTTTCTGTAAGGGTAGGAAGTCTGTGTCCCGGTTGTTTGAGTGCTAATGGATGCTATGAAGTTACTTCTCCTCAGCATTTCATGCAGAGGCATATTGGGGTAGTGAGCCAGGTAGAATGCTAGTGCTCCAACAAAACTGTCACCAGCTCCCTAGAAGAAAGTAAAAGGGGAAAAATGAAATACTACAAATGGTAAATAGAAAATCCTGTAAACCATGTACTTTAAAAATTACCACCCTGAGTTTTCATAAAAATATCTTCAATGCATAGATGAATGTGAATGAAATGGACATATCTGATAGCCTTGTTGTTTAAAGGTGACTCATCTTTTGCTATCTGTGGTTCCCAATGGATGCAACCATACAAGGGCAGAGGATGTTTTCCCACCCCTAATTTAGAATGGCTTTGGTTCTGTGTTTTAGAAACTACTTCCTGAAAAAGAATTACGTTGGCAAGAGAATACCTAGAAAATAAAAGGGATAGTGGGTCAGAATTCAGGGATTTATTAGGTTGTTCATGGCTTGAAAATGATTTGGAAGAAGTGTTTTAGATCTTACTCAAGTGAAGGCCATTTCTGCCTCATTTGGAAAAAAAAGGCAGCTTAAGAAATAACAATGCGCTACCTGAAATTAAAAACAATTGTTCCAAACACTGCTTCAAGTAGAAATAGCATTGATCTATAGCCATCTGCTGGGGAGGGGTTGTCATAAAAATTAAAAGTGAGGCAGAATAAGGACAAAACCCCTTTACCTTTTATACAGGCATTGAGAATTGAATACTTTGTGTGCAGAAGCTATTTGTCTCTCAAGAGTTGGAAAAGAAAGCAGCACACAGGAAATGTTAAATGTAATGAACTTATTGGAGCCTGTTTTTAGAAGGTAGTTTACTTATCCAAACAAGACTCTGTGATATTCCTTTGCATTCTGTAAAGCTGAGCCACAGACTTCTACAGTTAATAGAAGCTACATCCATCTGTGGCTAGCAGAATTAAAATTTCTGCAAAGTATCAGCAATACCCAGAATGTTTCCTTTTCAGATAATTAATTCTTCCATTTTCCTGAAAAGTTGAGTTCTGACTCATGGTATTCTATATCCTTCATGTAGCTAAAATCATAAAACCAGAAGTATGGCTAGTATTAGGTTGTTAAGCTTTATTCAAGTTAATGCCCTCCAGTTATGTGGTGCTATAATTTCCAGCGAACTTAGCTACATTTTGCTTCCTATATTTATGCTTTCTGTCCTTCTATTCAACTATCAGCCTTTTTTTAAAACCTCTGGTTGGTAATGCTATATAAGCAGTCCTTGATTTACGACCACAATTGAACCCAAAATTTCCATTGCTAAGCAAGACAGTTAAGTGAGTTTTGCCCCATTTTATGACTTCTCTTGCAACAGAGTTAAGTGAATTCCTGCAATTGTTAATTTAGGAACACAGTTGTTTAGTGAATCTGGCTTCCCCATTGACTTTGCTTGTCAGAAGGTTGCAAAAAAATAAAAATCACATTACAATGATAAATGTGTTTATACATATATATTTTTTTTTTGGGGGGGGGGTGTCCATTCAATTGTGTCCAATTCTCAGAGAGTATCTGGATAAGTCCCTTGGCAAGGTTTTTCAGAAGTGGCTTATGCATTAGAAGTGATATATTAATCATTAATTTAGAAGGAAGAGTTCATAATAGGATACTAAATTTTATAATATTTTAAGAGCTACCGTATGAATGCCTGAGAAGTTATATTCAAATATTCAAATAAATAAACGGAAAATCCTCCATGATAATTACAATTTTCCAACTATATAATGGCAACTGCCTCCAGATATGACATGCATTTAAACAGGAGAATTCTGCACAGGATTTATAGTTAAGATAATTTTGCATGTGAAGCACTATTATGGCAATGTCCAAAAAAAGCTATGTAGTAGGGAAATGACAAAGCAAAATGAGCACAAGACAGGCTTCATCACAGCTGATGGCAAAGCAAGCAGAGAAATCTGGTTTTTGAGATAGTATAATGCAAACAAGATACAATGCCTATAAATGTAGGCCTGCTTTGAAAACCCCAGCTGACTTTTGGCAGGCCAAAATACATAAGGTAGTATCACATTTATATTACCTTTAATCTGATTGCAAAAAAGTTCTGTAATAAGCCTTCCCCCCACCCCACCCCAAAAATTACCATGTTCTCAAATGTTGGTCTGCAACATCTGTAATGCCGAATCAATATGGTCAATTGCCAGAAATGCTGGAAAGAGAAGTACCACAAATTCTGTGGACAATAATTGGGAAAGATGGCTAAATGATACAGCAAAGAAAGGTTTATGCAGGCCTATCAAGCAGATAGTTCCAATCTGGGAAGAAAAAATAGCATTGCTATACAAATGGTCCATTGAAGGAGGCTTCAATTATAGGATTAGAGAATTAAAACATTCTTCTAATTTTGAAAATTTTTTCACAATTCCCAAGAAGCTGGGGGAAAAACTACTATTTTACATTCCTACCTGGCTGGATGTTGTAAAGAAAGTTCTTGGGTTGAAAGATCGCTGTTTTGAATCTTGTTAAAAATTCCATAGCTAAGCTATGAAAGCCTTGGTGTCTTCAGTAAGGATTATTTAATTCAAAAATAACAACTGCTGTGTTAGAAAAGTGTACCCATGCAATACTTTGCATCAGTGCTCAGGAATCTATATCCATTTCCTGGCTGATTTCCTGATAGGTCATTTGCACATGATTGAATAGTGCTTAGTGTTAGCCTCATACATTCTTGAAAGATGAAGTCAGATAAAGTGTCTGCTGTATCAATGATTTTTTTTTTCCTATTTGAAAATATCTTATTGCACAAAACTATTCAAGATCAAAAAGCTAGGATACTTTGGAAAGTTATCTAGTTTGTGGTTTACTTTATTAAAAAAAAAACATCAGTATAAATCTCCCCTCTTTGGACATTCAACTCAAAAAGTTCTGCAACTTGTTAGTTCTTGTCATCTCCATGATAATTTATATTTTCAAAGTCCATGGAGTCAGTCACCAGTCAGATAGGCAATAGGCCAACTTCTGGACAGACTTGAAAATAGGTACAGCAATAAAATAAGTTTGTCATGTTAACTGCTAGTTGTCAACATCCAGAATAACATGCCCTGGTGATTTTTAAAGAGTTACCACAACATTTCTCTTGCAACACATTTTAAGGGTCACTCATCAAAGCATTGCCTTCTGTTTTCACTTACACTGTAGAACGGTCATTACTGATTCCTTGGGATGCAATTCCCCAGTTCCTACCTCTGGCATAATTATTTTGTTCTCCATGATGTTTTGTATGTAGCATCAAATTGAGTGTGGAATGTTTTGTTAAGAAAAATTAAATGTACAGGGCTTTGAAAGGTAGCACAGAAAAAGAATAATTAGATTAAATAGATCAGTTATCTGCTATAGAAAATAATTCTGCTAACACACAGAAAGAGAGGAATACTACTATTATTCATAAAATACCATCTGTGGGCCTGATGTTGTGCAAACTGTTGTACGTCATTTCCCAACTATCAGAACTGATTGGAACTAAGCAATTGTATTTCAAATATGTAAGTATTTTGCTATTTCCACTTGGGCAACGTTTAACAAGAATTTCTAAACACAATGGGCTGATTTTCATGAATTCTGCTTGATGCATTTTTGGAGAAAACAATGCAGCTTTTTAAATTTAAATGTAATTTTACAAGCGAAGGCCTTTACTTTTAACTGTCTGAAACCTTAATGATTGTAAGTTTAATTTTCACGTCAAGAGAACAATGATATTTATCTCATAACCAATGTATTCTTGAATGTCATTCGAATTCTGCTGCTTTAAAAGAAGGTGATATGACATTTAATCTAGGAGGCAGGTTCTGATGCCTATTGTAGTTAAGCTATTGATATTTGCTGAATTGGGTATCGATATTTAACCAAACCAATGGCAAACCAAAACATCTTGTGGTACCACATTTTCTAATAAATTAAGGATTTCATTTAGTATTATATAATACAGAGGAGACTACAAGTGTACCAATTTTTTTCTTTATAACATTCATTCATTTACTTCTGTAACAATCTTCATTCTAAATTATGATATGCCAGGAAGGAAGTGGTTTAACCTCCTGATCCTTTTCTGCAATGTTTTAAATACACCAGATTTACCCAGAACATTCATGTAGCTCTCTTTAAATTTTCAGTAAAATTTCAATTTGAAACTACTAAATAAAGGTGTATTTAAAGTGAGGAAAGCAAATAATGCAAACAGTCTTCAGATGTAAGGTTTGGAAGCAACCAGATCACATTAAAAAAATATGCTATTCTGCTTAGCACATTGGCAGATTGGCAGGAAATCATATTGGAAATTGTATAATAGAAGTTTGCAAAAATGTTGTAAATCACTTGGCAGTGCCATTCAGTTTGTAACTGGCAGTCTAAAACCTGAAATATTTTAGACAGCCAGAGGGCAGCAGATTGCCAATTATTTATTATTGTATTTTGATTGCACAGGTGAGGTAAATTTTCCATCTCAGGCTTCTAAAGTTTTATAAACATTTAAAATTACAGAGAGGCAACTTTTGAATTCTAGGCCTTTGGGATTTTTCCATTTCTAGCTATTGCTTATTTCGATATTTAATTTGAAAATAAGAAATTCATAAGATTATAGCTGATGTTAAGTAAATTATCAAGCATTACGGGTGGCAAGACTTTGCTATTACTTGTTTGCCTGCAAGTATTCAAATCCTGGACCTCTGCCTTAACATATCATTATCTTCAGCGCCCCAAGCTTTGGTCCATAACTCAAATACTCTTCTCTAAGGATTAAATGAACATCATTAGTCATTAAATAGCAAATATGGCAAAGAAAGTAGTCAGACAGAGCTCCTACACACCCAATTATCAAATACTTCTTTACAATCTTTTTACTACACAATGAAACAGCAGATGTCTATTAGGACTTAGACCGTCATAGTTACATTAAGCGGAATATGTACATTTAAAAGTCCAACTGAAGTGCCTGCTGTTCTGAGAAGTTACACCCACAGCCTAATAGCCCTTTTCCTATTTCATAATGTAGCAACAAGCTCTACTGATTCATTAATGAGCAGAGGGCACTCTCTATATTCATATGAAGGTTTTTTTTAAT